TTAATGACAGAAAATGTGTGACTGCCAGCTTTAAGTGCAGCAGAGCTCCAAAGGTAATAAACAACAAGAACAAAAAACAAAAGTTGTAATAATCCTTTAATTGGATTCTACAGGGAGAGGAAAGTCGGGCCAAAGTGTGTCAGAGTCTTGAGGTTTAACTCGTTTGCAGTGGGTGGGGAAGAGTAGATTTTATTGCGGGCAGTGCTTTTAATTATACAGAACAAAATATGCTTAAGCTTATAGGATAATCAAAGTCTTTGCCATTTTCTAATCAGTTTTTTTATCATGTTAGATGGCTCTGTGATAAATGCAAGCCTCGACCTAGAGGATAAAAAAATAGAGTATAAACATACTTTTTTTATATCCTGAGGGAGCTTAATCAATAATTACTAACGACTGGATCTAGTTTTAATACAATTAATAAAACTTCACTTATCAGATAATTGTTCCATGTGCTGCTCATGATTGGCCGGCAGATGGCGCTGTTGTTCCGTTTTTACAAATCACCGTGTTCTTATTAGAACTGCACGCTTTCTTTAAGGTTATTTTTATTTTATTTATTTATCCTGATCAGATTCATCGTTTTGTGGAGCAGAGTTCGAGCAGCCCAGTAGAATGACTGTTCATTTCATTAATAATATTTTTAAGGGGGGGCGTGTTGATATAGCTCTACTTCCTGGACCAAAATGGGCAAAAAAAAAAAAAAAGCTTTGCAGAGAGCGTTTCCAGACTGCACACGCGCCGACTTTACGCAGCTTTTCAGCACCCTCAAGGACGTCATCCCGCCTCTTTGACAGCTTTCTCAGAAATTAGAGCAGCTCATAGTGTAGTTTCTTCAAAGTTTTATATATATATATATAATAAATAGTAGTAAAGTATGTCTGGAATGAACTCGCTGGACGCGGTCAAGCGAAGGATCAAATCCTTACAAGATCAAGCAGACGGTGCTGAAGACAGAGCTGAGAGATTACAGAAGGAGTTATTTGAGCAGAGGAAAGCCAGAGAGCAAGTAAGCGTGTTTGCAACGCACACACACCTGCGCATCAGGTCCTCTAACACTTCCTGTGTTTCTGAGAGGATAAAGACTATTTGAGTTGATTTCCTCCAGTCAGATGACGGGATTTCTCCAAACTGCGTCACTTTGACGTTAATAATTGAGAGTTTGAGAGCCCCACTAACTGGTGGCCCGAGGCCCCTGATTTCAAGAAGCATAATCAAGTCAAATGTTTATTTTTTTATTTGTTTATTTATTTTTGGGGTAGACTTTAATTCATATTAACTTGCTCCTAAAACAAAAAAAGCAACATAAAACCATTTTTCTTTCATTTTTGAGACACCAGGAAGTCAAAAAAAAAAAAAAGCTAAACTGTGGCAACATCCAGTGCGCCAGTCAGCTCGTGCTCGTTGCCCATATAAGGGCAGTGGGTTTCACAGCTGCAACACAGACTGTTACACATCATTTCATTTTCTTTTTTACAAGCAGGTTGTGTTAAAATGCAGCTCCTTCCTTGTGGCATGTCCACCCATGACATGCACGTTGTTCCTGCATTGCTGCATGACTCAAGTGAAAAACATTATATTAATTTAAAAAAAAAAAAAAAACATGTTCGCTGTAGAAGTAGCTTCATGTGCATCATGAGGACATTTTTCAATACCTGCGGAGCAATAAGAAAGCAGAAGTCAAACAAAAAACATGATCTCTTTTAATATAAGCCACAGCTAAGCATGAGTTAATTTTTATAACTCTAAACACCCATATGAAGAATATCATAACACTAAATATTTGCAGTAAAATGCTTCCTACAATGCTAAAAGTAGGGCACCTACTGACCTTGTTAACCCTCCATGCTCAGTACTTTAGGATCATCATTATATGAAGCACTGACAAACCTGCAGGAAGTGTTTTTTGTACAGAAATACTAAATATTAAGGATCATGATTATACTCCGAAAACAAAAGGCTTGTGGTCTTTCTGAACCTGAACCACCTGCTTTCTTTGGGCTGATGTGTGTTTGTAGTTAGGTGATTTCCTGGGTTTAAAATGCCGGACGTCTCCAGACGATGCGCTGCTCTTCTCTCCCTTAGGCTGAGGGAGATGTCGCCTCCCTGAACAGACGTATCCAGCTGGTTGAGGAGGAGTTGGATCGTGCTCAGGAGCGTCTGGCAACAGCCCTGCAGAAACTGGAGGAGGCTGAGAAGGCTGCTGACGAGAGCGAGAGGTTGGTTTCTTCCTCTGACCTCTGTAGGTTAAACGTCACGCTCTGAAATGAAACTTTTGGGACTTTATTCCAAAAATAGATAATTATCCATCTTTAAAAAATCTAATTAAATATTTAGGCTGATGATAGCGTTTGAGTAGACGTTCTTCACTAACAATACGGCACTCCTCCTCACAGAGGCATGAAGGTCATTGAGAACAGAGCCATGAAGGACGAGGAGAAGATGGAGATCCAGGAGATCCAGCTCAAAGAGGCCAAAAACATCGCTGAGGAGGCCGACCGCAAATATGAGGAGGCAGGTTTTTCAGCCGCTCGACAAACAGTGAACATCAGTTTGCAGCAATAAGTTCATCTGTCATAAGCAGATGGCAACACATTCATTAAAAAAATCATTCTGCAATAGTTCATTAATACAGAGCACAGATTAAAAGTGCTGTAGGTTAACACGTAATCTAAACCTTTCACCTAATCCCGACAGTGTGTGCTTACTGTAAACACCTGGTGTTTGGTGTAACTGTTGTCGTGCTGCACCTTCAGGTGGCTCGTAAACTGGTCATCATTGAGGGTGACCTGGAACGTACAGAGGAGCGCGCTGAGCTGACAGAAAGGTAAGTCGTTTCACCTCTGTGCACACTCAGACCTGCACGCACACTAGCATGGATGCTGTAGAAAAAATGTGCACTCATTCACAAATGATGAGAGTTGTTTTGGTTCGCACTGTTCTTATAATCTGTGCTGATCATTTGCATGCTCGCCTCGGTTTGAATGAATGGTTTTGGCTGCCACGCCCACTAACAGGCGTGCTCGAACAGCGGAGGAGGAGCTAAAGGTTGTGGAGCAAAGCCTGAAATCACTAACTTCCTCAGTCACACAGGTACAACAAACCAAAACTAACTGAGCTGCCCGTGTCTCCGTCAGTCCTGCCGCCTCCGCTTTGCATTCTGTGCTTGTTCCTTTTCCTGCTTTTATTCTGAGTAGATTAGACGGTTCCATGCCTAACACAGCAGGAGGCTGATCAGGAGTAAGACAGGAAGCATGATAATCCAACGCTGAAACAGCTGATTTTTATATAACACGTAAGAAAATCACATTGCTCTTTTCACATCCCTGCTTGATTTACGGGACCGTTCAGATCCTTTGAAGAGGGATTCTGTGCAGAGGTTATGAGGAAATAATATCTTACCTGTTGTAGATAGATGGCTTTTTTTGACAAACTCAGTTTGGAAAGGTTGTTTATTCTGCACATATTGATGAGCTGATGGCTCATTTGAATAGGGTCAAGACCAAAGTGGATTGCTGCTGTTTCAAAACAACTTCACTCTTTTAAAAACAAAATTGCTGTTCAAGTGAACGACATTTTAAAAACCTTTACATCACTGTCAATTTACATTACATGGTTATATACATACAATCGTCATTTTTGTTTTGTTTGTTCAAGTGTATGAGTAGCAGCTGCAGCAGGATGAAGCACTATCTGCAGTCGTGGACACTTCTGGCAGGATTACCATAATATTTCTACAGGAAAACCATGTAATGAGAAATGAATGGATGTATAAAGCAGCAGTTCCCAAAGCTGGGGTTGTCACCCCATGGTAAGGTCAAAAACACCAGGCTTGTGGTCCTGAGATGATCTCCAAATGTTTATTAAAAAAATAATAATAAAAAAAATCATATTTGGGGTCACAAATCTGAAATTGGCAGAAATCTACTTTGAAACTAATCCCACTTGGATTAGCCATTAGCTCATCAGTCTGGTTAGATTTAAACTCTTAATTCTTTAATCTGAGGACATTCAAAGAGCTATCTACAACAGGTAAGGTAATCATTGCTCATAACCTTTCCACAGAGCTTCTCTTCAAATAATTTTGAAATTTTTCTTTTAATGCCTAAAGAATCACCTCTCTGTTCTCACTTCCTGCTCTGTTAAGGCACATTTGTCTCTCTCGACTCCCATTTTGTTGAATCCTTGTGGTTGTTATTTATTTCATGTCATCCCTCCTCCTCTCTTCCCATCAACCTGTTTGGTGTCTTCCTCTGCTTCTATTGAACCTGGTTCCCCTTCTCTCTGTTTTTCCTCCACCTCCCTCTTTGTGTCCTTGGCCATTCTTATCTCCTCGTCTAAAACACCAGCAAATGCTCTGAGCTTGAGGAAGAGTTGAAAACTGTGACCAACAACCTGAAGTCACTGGAGGCCCAGGCTGAGAAGGTAAGCGTGACTTTCTGGGCCCGTGCATGCTGTTGAAACACCCGGATGGGAAAACGGAGGAGCCCGAGGAGTCATAACTCTTTGTTTTTAGTTAAAAGTGTCACTTTATAGTTAAGTGTGTCTAAATCTACCTGGATATTTAATGTCTCCTTGTTTTTGTCCCACAGTACTCACAGAAGGAAGACAAGTATGAGGAGGAGATCAAGGTCCTCACCGACAAGCTGAAGGAGGTACAGTTTTGGCAAATATTTTGTAGGGCTCGAGGATGATTGAGTCGCTGGTACTGGACCACAGTTCACGTGTTTAACTCGATGTGTCTCTGCAACGCAGGCTGAGACTCGTGCTGAGTTCGCTGAGAGATCAGTAGCCAAGCTTGAGAAGACCATCGACGACCTGGAAGGTAGGCTGTTCTTGCTGCTTTTCATTTTTCTACTGCTTCCCTCCAAACACTATAATATGCATATATATAAAAACATGTAGTTCATTTAAGAAATGAGTGCCATGACTTCTCATTTTTGAACTTTTATACTTCACAATATATTCAACTTCCTTTGCAAACATTTCACCATAAAATACATCAATTCAGTCGGAAACATTGTCCTTTTAACAATCAGCTTTAGCATACTTGCTTTATTTTTGTCTTCTTATGCTACTTTTAGCTTTAAGCTACCATTCTGCTTCCATACCATTCAACTAGAGCTAGCTATTTTATGTTTTTAGGTTTAAGCTACTGTGCTACTTTTAGCTTTTAGCTAGCTTTTTACAGTTTTAGCTTTTAACTGGCATTTTTCTACTTTTAGTTTCCCTTTTACAACTTTTAGCTCTTAGTGCGAATTTTGATGCTTTAGGCTTATATTGTTATTTTTAGCAATACTTTTGCTGTGAATGGCTTTCAGCCAGTGTTTTTATTACTTTAGCTTTTAGCTAGCATTTTTTTCTAAATTACGTCTTTAGCTAGACTTTGCTTCTTTTCAGCTTCAAGCTAGTGTTTTGTTCATTTTAGCTTAGCTTTTCAGCTTCTTCAGGAAATGTTCAGCACTCACTTCATTTTCACAGAATTTGCTTTTTGTCCAGTTTGACATTTTGCATCCCGGTCACTGCGCTGTTTTCAACGTTTTGTTTTCCTTTCTTCTCCTTCTGTCCTTTGAATGGCTCGGACGCTGCACCTTCTCTCCTCCTTTATGTGGCCCCTGCCTTCTTTGCTCTCCTCTGCTGTACCTGCCTCCCCCCTTCCCTTCACCTGTGGCACCCCCACCAACAATAGATGAGTTGTACTCCCAGAAACTGAAGTACAAGGCCATCAGCGAGGAGCTGGACCACGCCCTCAACGACATGACTTCCATGTAATTTTCATCTCTCTGCATCTGCTTGTCTATCCCCCTTTACATCCGTTCACCGAGGCCCCCTCCCCAAATGCATCTTCTTTTGTCTTAATTTTCGATGCCTATTCCAGTTAGGAATATTGCATCTGTCTGTTTTATGTCTTTCATTTTAAATGTCTTAAAACAGACAATGTTGTACTCTTTGTTTGTGCAATTTAAGTTCATCCAGGTTAAATCATTTATGTTATGACCACACCATAACATGATTTGTATATTTGTTTCAGTTTACTGTAAACAAAGGTTATGCATGGAGAGAGAGAAAAGGTGCATGGGTTTTACTTCGATGTGAAAATGATTGTTCTCGTGCATTTTTAAATACATTAAATTTGTTAAATATAAAAGGAATGTTTATAAGGTCCTTTCACCAATTTCATTGAAACTGGATAAAGCAGGTATTTCAATGAACTTAACTGTCCCTCCCCCTTCTGTATTCTTCTACTAACACGGTCTACTTCTGTCCAGAAGAAAGGCCTCATGTTTAGTTGTGAAATCACCCCCCCACCCCTCCACCACCCCCTTGGTTTTGCCGTTGAGCCAGCTGAAGGTCACTTGTCATAGTGGAATTTAGCACCACTGCGACTGATCTCACAGTTTTGCTAAATTACAAGATTATTACGGGAGCTTAAGAAAAGCGTTGTCTTCGTTTGATAGTGCTCTCGAGTGGAGGGCCAGGGTGCGCAGTGCATTTCCCATCATGCATTGTGCTGTTGCGGTGCATTGGTGTGCCTTCTATGGTTCTGGTGTGTTGTGGTGTGTGTCTCATAGGTCCCCACACCGACCTCCCCTCGGTTCACTGTGCTTCTTCTCTCCCACACAGATAAATTGTTTACACCTGGTCAAAGACGCCTCCTCATGCCCGAGCAGCGCCTGTCTGCTCTCCCTCCAGCCTGCTCCCCGTCTTCCCTTTGCTTTCCTTTCCTCCTCATGTTTTCATGTCAGCTATACATCCAATCTCTTGTACAGAATCCTAGAGTCTTTCTGCATTGTGTAAAAAAATAATAAAAAATCCTTCCTTCTATTGTAATCTCTATCTCTTTACTCTGTTCCTTGTTTTTCCTTTCTGATGTCTTAATGTAAAGTGGTTCAAGTAAAATCCCAAAGCCTTTTGCTGTCAAGTCGTGTTATTGATTTTTCTTTTTCATCTTATCAACCCATTAGCTCCATCTGTACAGGGCGTAGTCTTACAAATTTCAGTTGATGTCCTTTTATTTATTTATTTCATTTTTATTTTCTTCAAATATCCTGTGAAGCTGAGGTGTTAGGGATGTGTTGGCAGCAACTTCAGGTGCATGACTGAAAACTGAGCCGAACATTTGAAACTGAAGCATGCAAGCACTTTTGTGAAAGAGATGACAGGAAGTGTGTGAGAGATGATGAGCATTACTGCTAAATCCTAAAAAGATTAGGGCGATCTGGTGAAACGTAGGAGTTGTGGATTCTCATCTGGTGCTGGCAAAGTTGGATGGAGTTGATGTTGGTAAGGTGAACAAAAGAGCTTTGTGTGATGTCTCACATTTGAATAAATACACAATGGCAGAGTCTGAGTCTGTTTTATTTAAAGCGTTATCCTAAATGGAAATAAGCTGGACTGAGTTGTTGTTTTTCTGACGGGAGTGGTTTGACCGTAGGATTAAAACAGAACTATACCGTAGAAAATTTATATGAGACCCATTTTATAGATTTTTAAAAATTAAATGCATAGATGCAGCTGAGAAAATTGTTTATTTTTTTATACTTGCACAGGATTTGATTTTTTTTTAAATCAGGAGTTATGATCTCTGTTTTTGCCTTCTTTTTTTTTTTTGTTCATAATTGAAGTACCATTTCTTTTGTCTTCTTTACCTGTTGCAGTTTCAAAAAAAGTGACAAAATTCTCTTAAAAGTATATTAAAAACCAGTCAAATCATTATTCACTGGTTCTAGAAATATTTTATTGGGCTTTAAGATTTTTTTTTAAAAATTGAAGCTTATCTTTAAAAAGACAAGATATAAAACACATTTTCCACATTTTGATTTTACCATTTTCCTCAGGGCTTTCTTCCATTTTTGTTGTTTCCTTCTTCATACACGTCTCTACAAGCAACTTGTGGAGGAACTGCAGATAGTGCCAGCTGAGAAAAAAAAACATAAAAATGTGTTATTTTCGTCTGGTTTTGGTTAAAACCATGTTCATATCTTGTCTAAAGCTGAAACCATTTGTGATTGAATGTTTTGTTTAAGTAAATGTCCAGCTCGACTAAATTTAAGGTGGGCCAATCCTAGCTCGCTAAAAAATGAAGTTTATTTCTAAAACTGCATTCACATCTTAAAATTTTATGCAAATTTATGCAACCCTTAGAGTGAAGACTACAAAACAAAAATACAAATTATGAACTGAATAGATTCTTAGACAGCATATTTTATTTTCTCAGCTGGCACCAATTGAGCTCCATACAACTTCAACTAGCCTTAATTAGAACTGATTGCTGTTTGGCTATCTATCCCAAAAACACAAAATAAGGAAAAATTAAATATTTTTTTATTATTAATTGAGTATGGTCAGATTCTGTTTTATTTATTGTCAGATAAGTGAACAAATAAACTTAAAACAACAGATTCTTATGCAAACGGAAAACTAGAACTGTATATAATCTGTATTTTAAGGATAACAGCTCTTTTATTAGCAACTGTCTTGATACTAATTCAGTCACAAGTTATTTTTGATACTTTTCATTAAATATTCATCCATAAAATTGTAGAACTGAAAAGTGTCCAATAAAATTGATTCATGCATTTATTTATTTATTTATTTTTAAGCATTTGGTGATTTGATTTGATTTGTGTATGTGTTATTTGCTGTTTTATTTTAAATGCTTGTTTGACAATTCAAACCAATCTAAAGATATTTTCTTTAATTCCATGTATGACTTTTGTACTGTTTGAGTTTTGTGTTGCTGTGAGTGGAATGTTATTTACATTGAAACGGTTTAAATCAGGCATCATCTAAAAATATAACCCACTAGCCCTTCTTTATCCCCATCTCATAAACATGTTTGTGTGTCAGAGAAAGTTGTAGCAGAACACTGTATGGTTTACATATTGTAACTCTTCTTTTTGTTTGTTTGTTTGTGTTTTTTAATACTCGTTATTCAGTTTTAAAAAATCATTGCCTGACGTTAGTGCTTCAACCAGCTTGAATAATAATAATGATGCAAACTAACCCACTGACACATTTGTGTTTGCTTGTGTGAACTAAAACTGTCTTTATCTTACGTTCTAACAGAGAAACTGTCACATGCTAAAGAAGAGAACCTCGATATGCATCAGATGATGGACCAGACTCTAATGGAACTGAATAACTTGTGAAGGCACATCTGACCTCCCCCTGCCAGTTACACACACACACACACACACACACACACACACACACACGCACTGTTCTTTTTTTTTTTTTTTTTTTTTTTTTTGGCTTTTTGCATTTGCACCTTGCTTACAATAAATCCTCCTTCTTGTGCCCTGCCAATGGCTGTGACCAAACAGCCAGAAGCTAATTTTATTGCACAGTTCTGCCCTCAGTGGAACTCAACCAAGGAGCCGAGCCATGGAGAAGTCAAACTTAACCCTTCCCTTTAGTGATATTTAGAGATGCAAATTTTTTTTGGAAGAGTTTTTATGTCTAATGTTTTGTTTTTAAGACATCTGGTAAAATGATCTGTATCATTAGTTACAGAAAATGTTTTTACATCTGCAATAAAGCTGGTCTGAAAAGTTCATAGCTTGATTGTGCACATACCAAACGACAAAGGGGAAAATATTTGCATGTAGTAAAACTGTTGCATTTTTACTATGCATAAACTGTTTTTTTTTTTTTTACCCTCACAAGAGTAAGTATACGCAGGTAATGCCTGTCAGTATGTATACTGGTGCTACTGTATTGTTCTGTTGTGCTTTACAGTATGTGGAAGAATAATGTTCTTTCAAAACCACAATTAAATTTTTCTCCCGACAGATTTTTCTCTTCAACATTTCAGTCAGCTAGTGCATCGTTTTAGTTCTGTTTTAAAGAAAATGTTTCAAGTGTTCGTTATATCTGAAATGTACAAATTATATAACTTTAAATAAAAGCACATTTTGAAATTTTTCCAACTTTGTTTGTGGTCCATATTAAGCTCTCTTGTCAATTATGAAAATAAAAGATATTGCACTTCTGAGAAATAAGATTAGTATTTATAGTAATATAGTAATAGTACTTAGTACACTAGTTCCAATTTTACAAAAATAAAAAGCCAAGTTCAAACAAAAAGTGAAGCTTTCCTCATGGACATTTCATGCAAAATACATTTAAAGTAGGTTTTCTATGTTTATGTTACTTTATTACCCCTTTATTTGATGACCAGCGTTTAATTTAATGGAACTAAATTAATTGGAAATTATTGGTAAGTGTAGCCGGGAGAGCAGCAAAATACTGTCGGTGGCAAGATCAACTTTATCTCATCAGCATACATGTTTAGGTCATGCTTCAAAACTTATTGAAAACTAAAGATATGCACTCATAAAATACAAAGTTAGGTTTTGTGTTTATATTTTTAAAATTGACAAGATATTTGAGGGGGTGGCACAAAGACATTGGCACCAAAGCCCCTTCCCTTAGACTGTTTTTATCAGCTGTTAAAGTCGCTTTAACAGCTGATAAAAACAGAAAATGTAAAACATTCAAACTTCCAAGTCTTATAAATATGTTTTCCTTTACACCATAACACAGTTAATTCAATTTCTCAAAAATACAAGTCATTTATTTCCATAATCAACAAGAGAGCTTAATGCGGACCACAAAGAAAGTTGGGAAATTTTCTGAATGCGCTAAACTCATACATTTCTGTGAAAAGCCTACTTGTTTCTGGCTTTTTCAAACCTGTGTGCAATTTCTTTAGTGTGGTAGTGTTCAGTTTACATGTCCTCTCTTGTTGAGATGATAACATCTGTGGAGAAGCATCAAAGCCACTAAAATAACCCCATTTCATTTAAAATTTAAAGGAATAACAGGCTAGTTTTATGTTGTTAAAACTGACTCAGTGCAGTACTCCAAATTTAATATATTCAATTACCACAAGGTAGCTTTCACATAGCACTAAATGCAGGCTTCAACATTAGCCGTGGAATCTGCGGTGGAAGTGGTCTCCACCTACAATTAATGTACACCTGAATGACAAACTCAGCTGGGGCAACAACACCACCAGCCTGATCAAGAAAGCTCATCAGAGACTCTACTTCCTCAGGCAGCTGAAACGAGCTGGACTGGGAAGCTCGGTCATCACCTCCTTCTACAGGTGTGAAGTGGAGAGAATCCTGTGCTCCAGCATCAACATGTGGCATGGAGGCTGCACAGCTGGAGAGAGAAAGGCTCTGCAGAGAGTGGTGAAGGCTGCACAGAAGTCTGTTGGGACTATGTCTCCCCACCATAGATGTACATCTCCAGATGCAGGAACCTGCATCATGAAGGACCCCACTCACCCAGCACGCACACTTTTGGCCCTGCTCCCTTCAGGAAGGAGGTTGAGGAGCATTAAGTGTAGAACCACTAGACTGAGGAACAGCTTATACCCTGAAGATGATAGACCCATAAATCCCTAACCAGAAAAATCAATGTAACACTTTAATTGGGACTGCCATTTTATCTGTGCTGCTGATTTCTTACCTTAAGCTGCTATATTCATACCCATCTGCTCACAGTTGTTCAGGCTGCTGTTTAATACAACGTATATTACATTATTATTGTTTAGCGTATATCTTAGATCCTTGTATACTGCTTATTTTTATAGTTTATATTATTGCTAGTTTTGTGTGTAACTGCGACCTTCAGTGCACGGTTTCGTTCCACCTCATGTTCCACATGTGATGCGAATCACACGAACCATGAGGACTTTGGTTCGATGTTTTCAGAGTTCGATTAAATCGGTCTTGTTAGAGGAAGTAAACAAGGAAGGAAGGAAGGAAGGAAGGAAACAAGTTTTTTTTTTTTTTTTTTTTTTTGGTTTGAGCATCAGAAACCACCAGTAGCCTCTAGTCCGGTGCTTTTGTTTGTCAACATGTCACGTTTCCTTTCGTCGCATCGTTTCTGCAGCAGATGCTACCTGCTAGCAGCGCGCGAGCCTCCGCTGATGACAGCGCGAGGCAAGTCGCCGCAGGCTGGCAGAGTGTTTATCCAGACACAACACCGGGGTTACACCGGGGGGCTAGCCTTCTGTAAAAACCGGACAAAGTCCGACATTTGGCTCTGTGGAGTTGGTGTGGGGATTGTTTTAGCTGCGGGACTGAAATACAGCTTCGACTCCGCTGACATTTCATGTGAGGACACAGTTAAAAACGCAAACCGGGCCAGCCAGTACACCGATGCTATAAAAGTAAGCCGAGACCTACTGGAGCGGATAAAGGTAGGCGGTGAGGTAGGCCTGGACAAAGACTGCTCGCTTAATTATAAGTATTTCCATATAACCTTTAAAACACCTGTATTAAGTCAGTTCTCCGTGTTACCAGGCTGAAGTTGGAGCTCCTGGACTGGTAGTTGGGGTTTCTGTGGACGGTGATCAGGTTTGGAGTGAAGGTTGTATAATTGCGCACTTAAAATCCATTAATTAGCCCGGTCCAAAAACAAGCACACAGAAATGAACGTTGGGACATGTCTAAACTCTGGACAACAATGTTTCATTTAATCCACCCGTCATGTGGAAAACAGAATAAGTCATGCTAACAATAAAACTACACTGTAGGTCAGTGTGCATAATGTGTATTATTTTGATGTCATTTTTTATTTCCCCCAGTTATTTGCTGTGTTTTTTGTTTGTTTAGTGTTGTTTTTTGTTTTGCTGTTTGCTGTCTTGCAGTACTTTACAGATTTTAATGAAACGTGCAGAAAGTAATCAGTAATTGTATACAACTGATTAACTTTTGGAGCAAACCCAATTTAAGATTGCCACCACAGCCAACTGACTTTATAAAACACAAAAGGGCTATAAGTCTGTCCGTTTTACAGTTATTGTGTTAATATTTACTGTAGTTTAAAATAGTTCACAACATGTACTGATGCATGCTCAGTAATCCAGGTAGATAAATCTAACCAGGTTGAGTCAGGACCTCTGGATGAATCCATCCAGAGGTCCTGACTCAACCTTGTGAGATTCACAACATTGTGCAAGATTGTTGCTTAAAACTTGAGCAATAACTGTTTGTGACAAACAGGGTTGTGAAAAGATTGAACAGATTTTAAGATAACTTCCACAAGTAACTATTGAATGTTCATCTACAGCTGATCAACTTTTAGAATCAATCCTATTTAAGATGGCTGCCACAGCTAACCACATGAATTGTGGTACAAAATAAATCTGAAAAAAATTGCATTTGGTCAAGCGTTTGTTGTATTTCTATTCTGAACTATAAATATATCTAATCATATTAGCTTTTCAGCATTTGGTAATGTTCTTTATGATGTGGGGTTTTGCATAAATATACCAAGAATCTGCAGTATTAAAAAAAAAAAGAAGTATTTTTTAGATGGTTTAATTTGATCTTCCAAATTGGCTTAGAATATATATTATATATATATATATGTGTGTGTATATATAATATATATGTATGTATGTATATATGTAATATATATGTATGTATGTATGTATATATGTAATATATA